CTAATCCATTTTTCCCCCCAAACTTTTGTAGTAAAGCTTATTTGGTAAGTAAATCTCAAATGGAAATTAAATAAAATCTATTAATTCATAAATAATAATAATAATAATAATAATAATAATAATAATAATAATAATAATAATAATAATAATAATAATAATAATCCAAACAAAACTATATACAAATTAAAATTAAAATTAAAAAAAAAAAAAAAAAAAAAAAAAAAAAAAAAAAAAACAAAGGTGGCTCCCCTTTTTAAATGATGTGGGATCATTTTGATCCCATATTGAAAATGTTTAGAAAGAGGAGCTCTTGAGCTCCTCTGTATAAGAGGATCATTGCTCCTCTTACAAACATATAATTGCTTGCCCATCAATGTGGGCAAGTATTGAGAAGTTCAAAGACTTTTTTTTTTTTTTAGTATTATTGACACGACAAATTATGCTGTGGCACCGTGTCCACCTTGCAAAGTAGACACAGTTTAAAAATTGTTCATAATTATGAATATATAGTTCTATAATTTGAATATATAGTTCTATAATTATAAACATAGTGTTGTGAACATTATTATAAACATATAGTTATGTAATTATGAATATAGAGATTTAATAATTGTGAATATGAAATTCAAAAATTAGGAATATATATATCCAAACAAAACGATATACAAACATTTATTATAATAATAATAATAATAATAATAATAATAATAATAATAATAATAATAATCATCATCATCATCATTCAAACAAAACGATATACAAAATAAAATTTAAATTTAAAAAAAAAAAAAAAAAAAAAAAAAGACAAAAAGGAGCCACATGCTCCCCTTTGTAAATGATGTTGGATCATTTTGATCCCACATTGAAAATGTTTGGAAAATGAGCTCTTGAGCTCCTCTATATAAGAGGAGCAATGCTCTTCTTACAAATATAATTGTTTGTCCATCAATGTGGAAAAGTATGAAAAGTCCAAAGGCAAATATTTTATTTTTTGAGTACTATTGACACGTCAAATTATATTGTGGAGATCGTGTCCACCTAGCAAGGTAGACACGGTTCTAAAATTGCTCATAATTATATATATAGTTCAAAAATTATGAATATATAATTCTAAAATTATGAATATAGTGTTGTGAACATATAGTTATGTAATTATGAATATAGAGACTCAATAATTGTGAATATGAAGTTTAAAAATTATGAATATATAGCTTTATAATTATTAACATATAGTTTAGTAATTATGAACATAGAGTTTTGTAATTGTGAATATAGAGTTCAATAATTATGAATATGAAGTTCAAAGATTCTGAATATTTAGCTTTATAATTATGAACATATAGTTCAGTAATTATGAACATAGAACTATGTCCACCTTGCAAAGTGGACATGGTTCCACAGCATAACTATTCGATTCACACATGGTTCCACAGCATAACTATTCGATTCACCGTGTTACATGTAGTATCTGTTCATATAGACTTACTCAACCTATTGAAGCCCAACGTTTCAAAAGGCTCTTATTTAAGAAACCTTATTTTAATGGTTTCTTATTTTAGTTTTTTTTTTTTTTAATTTATTAGGGGGTTTTACTAAGATTAACCAAAATGTATATGTGTTGTTTTTAGCAGTTTGGAGCAAATTGTTAAGTTATTAAATAATATTTTTGATGTTTTGATTAAATATAAAATGTTAAACAAGCGAATTTTTTAAAATTTTGGAGAATTCTCCAAATTATCAAATTACAATAACAACAACAACAACAATAACAATAACAATAACAATAACAATAACAATAACAATAATAATAACAATAATAATAATAATAATAATAATAATAATAATAATAATAATAATAATAATAATAATAATAATAATCCAAACAAAACTATATACAAAATAAAATTAAAATTAAAAAAAAAAAAAAAAGAAAAAACAAAGAGGAGTCACCGACTCATTTTGTAAATGATATGGGATCATTTTGATCACACATTGAAAATGTTTGAAACGAGAGAGCTTATCTATATAAGAGGAGCAAAACTCCTCTTACAAACATAATTACTTGCACATCAATGTGGGCAAGTATTGAGAAGTCAAAAGGTTCTTATTTAAGAAGCTTTAGCGTTGTCTTCTTATTTTAGTTTTTATTAATTTATTTATTTATTATTAGTGGGGGTTTGGATAGATTAACCCAAAATGTATGTGTTGTTTTAGTTTTTAGCAGTTTGGAGCAAATTGCTAAGTTATTAAATAATATTTTGATTTTTTGATTAAATATAAAATATTAAACATACGAATTTCTTAAAATTTTGGTGAATTTGTCAAATAATCAAATTACAACAAAACAACAACAACAACAACAATAACAATAATAATAATAATAATAATAATAATAATAATAATAATAATAATAATAATAATAATAATAATAATAATAATAATAATAATAATAATAATAATAATAATCCAAACAAAACTATATACAAAATAAAATTAAAAGTAACATTAAAAAAAAAAAAAAAAAAAAAAAAGGCAAAGGGGAGCCACATGCTCCCTTTGTAAATGATGTGGGTTCATTTTCATCCCAAATTGAGAATGTTTGAAAAGATGAGCTCCTAAGCTCTTCTATATAAGAGGTACAAACATAATTGTTTGCCCATCGATGTGGTGAGTATTGAGAAGTCAAAAGGTTTTTATTTAAGAAACATTAGCTTTGTCTTCTTATTTTAGTTTTATTTATTTATTATTTATTATTTATTATTGGGGGTTAGGAAAGATTAACTCAAAATATATGTGTTGTTTTAGATTTTAGCAGTTTGGAGCAAATTACTTAGTTATTAAATAATAATTTTGGTGTTTTGATTAAAGATAAATTGTTAAAATGACGAATTTGTCAATAATAATAATAATAATAATAATAATAATAATAATAATAATAATAATAATAATAATAATAATAATAATAATAATAATAATAATAATAATAATAATAATAATAATAATAATAATAATAATCCAAACAAAACGATATACAAAATAAAATTAAAATTTAAAAAAAAAATAAGAAGAAGACAAAAGGAAGTCACGGGCTCCCTTTGTAAATGATGTGGGATCATTTTGATATCACATTGAAAATGTTTGGAAAGAGGAGCAATGTTCCTTTTACAAACATAATTGCTTGCACATCAATGTAGGCAAGTAACCTGAAGGGTGTGGTTGAGTGTAAAGGATTCATCCATCCTTAACGAAAGGTCAAGGGTTCGATCCTTGGATTTGGAAATGGAGTAGCCTTAAATCTCTAAGCCAGCTGTCCCTGGGTTTACTAAAAAAAAAAATCAATGTAGGCAAGTATTGAGAAGTCCAAAGTTTTTTTTTTTTTTTTTTTTTTTTTTTTTTTGTTAGAACTAAAGGAAAATTAAAAATGGAAAGGAAATATTTTAATAATAATATTTTACATCATCAAATAGTAAAGACATATTTTAAAAAATAGTAATGATAAATTAAAAATGGAACGAAAATATTTCATTAATAATATTTTACATCATCAAATTAAAATGGAACGAAAATTAGGTAAAAATAACACTGCATCTATATTCTAATTGACTGATTGATTGGAAATAAAAAAAGAATAATTAACTGAAAATGAATCTAATATTACTAATTGACTGAAAATATAAAAGGAAATGAATATTAATAATTGACTGCAAATAAAAAATGATCTATAATTGACGAAAAAATGGTAAGATCATTGCATTTTAATTAAAAATGGAATGAAAATTAAAAATTGGAGGAAAATATTCCAATAATAATATTCTACATTATCAATAGTAAATGCATATTTTAAACAATAGTAAAGGTAAATTAAAAATGGAACGGAAGTTAGGTAAAAATATCACTGCATTTGATATTCTAATTGATTGAAAATAAAAAATAATAATTGGCTGAAAATGAATCTGATATTACGAATTGACTGAAAATATAAAAGGATAACTAATTGAGTGATATTCTACCATTATATATTTTCACCCAAGTAACCCGTCATGATGGAGAAGATGTTAGCTCTAGACGAAGATGAACAAGATTATGTTGTCACTACCAATGTCGTCTACAAAGAGGTTTCAATAATGTGTAAATATAATCGATGATATTAATTTTTTTAAATGAAAAAATTGCTATATATCTAGACAATATATATATATATATATATATATATATATATATATATATATATATATATACACAAATGAATATGGATAGCAATTCATTTCTATAACTGAGTTGTTAGAGAACAAACACATTTACCAAATGTATGAAAATACTAAACAATGATAAATAAAATCTTCAAAATTATAGGACCGCATCCGTACATCTAGACATTAGCTATTAATTTGAGCAATTATTTGCACAAATTCAAGCAATGATAACATCAAAATATATAAACGATTCAAATCATATCTTTAAGTGCACTATATAATATTTGATGTTCTAATTTAAATAATTATTTATCGATTCATATATTCTTAATATATTACAACATATTCATTCCGTGCATCGCACGGGTGCAAATACTAGTACTAATAATACTAATAATAATAATAATAATAATAATAATAATAATAATAATAATAATTGCGGTGAAAGTTACGGATAAAGAAGAAGAGAAAAATGATTTTAATTGGGAAGAGTAAATTATGTCATTTATTTAAAATAATAAGGATAAAAATGAAAAAAAAAATTAGGAAACTAGGAGTTTATTTTGAAACGCTACCTAATGTAGCATTTCAAAATAGGCTCTTATTTTAAGCTAGGAGCTTATTTTGAAAACATTACAAAACAGAAATTATAGCTTATTAAATAAGATATAAACTCCTAAATAAGTTTAAAAAAATGTAGCATGACTTATTTACATCTCTATGAACAACCCCCCCCCCCCCACCCCCGGAAAAAGAGAATAATAATGCCAAAATAAATAGACCAAAGGATTATAATTTTTTTTTTTTAAAAAAAAAAAACACGAAGAAAGGTATATCGCTTCGTATTGTCGCAGAGTTGAGAGTTCTTTCCGACAACGTCGACGGCAGGATCTCCTCTCTCATCTTCCACCGTCTTCCTTTTCTTCTTCTTTCACTGTTATCTCTCTACAATCTGTGGCAGCGGGCACCAATCTTCAATGGAGGAACTCAATTTTTTGTAGTAGGACTGCTCGATCGATTCTTAATTGGAGAGGCAGCCTCTACAGAACACCAAGTCCTCGCGATTGTCGTCTCCACACTATACAGTAAACGATCGAATTGCAATTGGCATGGCTGATTACTCCAAGGACGACGTCGTTCAGCTGATCAAGCGATTCGGCGCTTTTCTCACCGTCAAGATTTCCAATCTCTTCCGTTCCATGGTTCATCCTTGTTCCCTAATCCTTTTGCAATTGAAAGTTCCTTTTGTTTAGTTGTTATAATTACTTCAGAGATATTAGCTGTTTGATGTGATTTTGTTGCCCCTTTTATCTTGTGCCCAATGGCATTTAACAAAAATGTTTTAATGCAGAAGATAAATTTTGTATTTAACAAGTTCTAATTTTATAAGATGAAAAATCTGATCCTTAAGTTCATGCCATCTCGCCATGGATAATTGTTATTATTCTTACTAAGTGCTATTGATGTGCCTTAGATAAATGGTTTATTTAAGTATAATGAAGATAAATTTGCCCATAATTTAGGAATTAAGCATTTAAGCCCCTCCTTGGAGCCCTTAACTCAGGGAGTGTGGATATGCTTTGAGTATGACAAATATATGAGCTTTTACTACTATGTATAATGGGGAAACACAAACTTTTCTTCTATTTCTCAATTGCTTCCTAGGATTTTTCTTCTCTTTTTAATTTGCTTCCTAGTAGTTTTGTGGAATGAATCTGTAAAAAGACTTTTCATCTCTGGCTCTGATTAGTAATTTCTCTTCTCTAAAATAAAAATTAAACTTTTCTTGAAAATTCATGCAAGTGCAGAACATTCATGTCAAGTGGAGTAGGCTTTTTCTGGGTCTGAATCTTGTACAATGAACTAGTGAAGTGTACACCTGATAATTTTATCAAACTGAGAGAAGATATACTTGTAATGGCTCTTTCAGAAATGAAATTCATGAAAACATTGGAGACCTTGGTTTAAAGATCTAAACTTTTTTACTACTTTTGTCCTGATGAACAATTTTCTTCTTAGAATGGCTCTAATGGTGTAATTTATAGGCAATATTTTAGTATTGGCAAAATAGAATTCCCTTGTGTGCATTGTCCGACAAAACAGGCAAATGATAGTTTTGACTCTATTTTTATATTGTTGTTCTAATAATAGAACTAAAATAACAATATATTGTTGTTCAAAAATGAAATTCATGAAAACATTGGAGACCTTGGTTTAAAGATCTAAACTTTTTTTATCCTAAGGAATAATTTTCTTTCTAGAATGGCTTTAATGGTGTAATTTACAGGCAATATATTAGTATTGGCTTTAAACTACATTTCTGGCTATTCAGGTTAATTGTTGCCTTATTATCCTAGTTTTGTTATATTACTTTTTGACAGGTCCTCACTTTGTTGAAATGTCTATATTTAGAGGATGAAATCCCTTTGTACTTATTATGCATGTAGAATTTGAAATCCCTTTTACACATTTTGTTGATGGTAGCATTGTCAAATTACAGGATACAAAATCTGTTGGGGCTTTGGCAGGTCTTGCATTAGCAATAGTGTTTACCTGGAGACTATTGAGATCACCTAGTGGCACTCAAAGGAGACGACCAAAACGACAAGCTGCACCGTCTAGTAGTTCTGGTGCAAGTAGTCATACAAATGCAACTATAACAACTTCTGTTGTTAACCCATCATCAGATGATTCAAGAGCGCAAAATGTTATTGATGAGTTTTTTCAGCCTGTAAAGGTGGGTTGCTTGTTGCATCCCCCATAATATCTCCCCTCCTACCAGAAAAATTTGTGTATAAATTAAATCTCTTAACCTTGATATTGTAGCCAACCCTGGGGCAAATAGTCAGGCAGAAGCTGAGTGAAGGGAGGAAGGTAACTTTCTATACTTCTACAGTTCTACATGCTATTCTTGTCTACAAAGTATTTCTGTTTTACTGCAAGCTCTAGTGGCCTACTGGCCTTTAATGAATTGAAGCAAAACATTAATATCTTAGAAACTTGAAATGCTTGTGCATTAAAAATTCAGCTTTAGTGGGTATCTTATATCTTATATTATCTTCTTGCAGTCACATTGATATCATTGTATGTACCCAAAAAAATTATTGATATCATGGGCTTTGATATAGATCATTGGATTCATCAAAATCTGCTTAAAGTACAGAGGTTTTTCAAATGTGATTGAACTCTGCTCATTTTCAAAATTAACAAGGCTGTGGTTGTTAGTTGTTGTAATATACTGTATTATCACTGTATTGAGGAACAAAAATTGCCCATTTGATTGTTGTCTTTGGACTGAACTATATTTCCTACCAACTTTATTGGACTAAAATAATACTCGAATACTGTTTATCAAGTTTTCATTTTATATGGTTTTCTGTATCTGATCCCGCCCAAATATTATCTGCTTTGGATAACTGAAGATGTTGTTTAATCCTTTGTGATGACATCATTAACAAAATACGTAATGTCCAACCTTTAGTTCTTCATTTGCCTGATACATTCCCTGATTTATACTCTACAGGTAACCTGTCAGTTACTTGGTGTGATCCTTGAGGAAACTACCCCTGAGGAGCTTCAGGTCAGTGTGATTTTTCATTTCTTGACTGTGTTGGCATCTTACATCATGGTTGTTGCATCCAGTCAGGCAGTCACCTAGGTATTATGTGACTGCCTCCATTTTCTTAGTTTGTGGATAGAGGAACCTGGGCAATATCCTGTGCCATTTTTGGCAGTGCAATGGATAACTTCTCCATCTTGTCCCATTTTCACTTGTTATAAGCTAAGATTGGGCTAGGGTCACTCAATTGGGCTATAATGCACATGGACCCAACCACACTAAAAGATTGAAACCAATTAGCTCGTCCAACCCATGGCTTTATAAATCCATATAATTTCTCTTATTTTATCAATAGGGGACTCTTAACACTCCCCTCAAGTGGACAACCGGGCCATTTTGAATCTAACCGGTTGACCACTTGAAATTGGACCGGACCCTCCCTGAAACGAATGGGACGCCACCAAAGTGGACCGAACAAGCTTTGACGCCACCAATACCCATAACCAGGTGCACACAAACACAAAATAGACCGAACAGGCTCTGATACCATCTTATACACTAAGATTGGGCTAGGGTCACTCAATTGGGCTATAATGCACATGGGCCAAACCAGACTACAAGATTGAATCCAACCAATTAATTAGCCTAACCCATGGCCTTATAAACACATATATTCTCTCTTATTTTATCAATGTGGGACTCTTAACATCACCGAATGTTTATATTTTCTGACAATCTTGTCTTCATCCCTGACAGAAACAAGTAACAGTGAGATCCTCTGTCCTGGAAGTATTGCTTGAAATCACCAAATATTGTGATCTTTATCTCATGGAAAGAGTTCTAGATGATGAAAGTGAAGTAAGTGCTGACTCATAGCTTATAATGCATATGATTAAACAGTTGTTCATTTTATTTCCATTGAAACTTTTAATTATTTGTCGAGTAATTAGTAAAAGGTTGATATCGGGAAGGACTATAAACTATAAAGGATGCAATTTGATGGTTTTGTGCATCAGCAATGAGCACAGCAAATTTGCTCTCCCATGTCATGGTTAATAATAATTGAACACATGCAAGTAGTAGTAGTACTGTGAACAGAAGGTACAACCATTTTTAGGAACTATTTCTATTGAAAGCATTGTCTCCTTTATTTAGAACCAATATTTATGTGAAAACATCATTAAAAATGGTCTAACTTCTTTTCTCCCCTCCATGTAAATGGTGTTGCTTCTTGGGCTACATTAAATATTCTAGTATTTCTATGTTGCTAGTCTAATTATGTAATTTTCTGCCATATTTAAGCGGTGAGTTGTTGTATGCAGAAAAAGGTCCTCTTGGCTTTAGAAGATGCTGGGGTATTTACATCTGGTGGCTTGGTGAAGGACAAGGTAATTCGGTTCATGGCATAAGAAAATTGTTGGTATTGGGTAGCAATTTTCTTTAACTTTTGCTCTCAACCGTGTCCTTGATGACCTCATTTTCCTGTCTCTTTGTTATTTCTTACCTCCCAGTATGTGACAAACAAATACAGTAACTTTTTAAAAAGTTGTTCTGAAATGCAGCCTCTTTAGATACGAGCGTTACAAAGTGAAAAGATACCCTTCATTGTGTAGTGGGGACAGATATATATATGAATCAATTTGGTCCAGCAGTTGCCCTAATTCCCTCCTCATACACTATTTTTGGGTGGTTGTGCAGGTTCTCTTTTGTAGCACTGAGAATGGGCGAATATCGTTTGTTAGGCAACTGGAACCGGATTGGCATATTGACATAAATCCCGACATTGTAACGCAGTTAGCGGTAATTTTTTTGTTTTAAATCATTTTTACCAATAATTCCTTTTCCCTGTGCTACAATCTCTCTCTCTCTCTCTCTCTCTCTCTCTCTCTCCCGCTCTTACAAGTAACAATGTGATAATACATTTACCATAAATAAATTAAGTTACCGGTAGGTTAGGTATTTTGAGGATTCTAGTAAATTATTGATAAAATAGGTCATAGTTTCTTTTATTTACGGAAAAGCCCACATTCGCTACTCGAAGGTGCGCTCTGGGTGAAGTCCGCCTTGTGACTCTAGCCAGCAGTGAACCACAAGGAGGTAAACCAGCCTAAGTTGTCCATAGCTGACCGGCTCAAACCAAGAAGGCCAATAGGCAGCTCCCATGATGGGTCGAACTTGGAACCTTATAGTTACCAAGCCAATTGCCCGACCAACTCGGGTGGGGGTTACCCCTAGGGTCATAGTTTCTGTAATTATGCATAGCGCGTAAACATTCCCCATCAGACACTACTACATTCATGCGATCTGTATCTAACGTTTGTATTGTTTTATGCAATTAATATACATCCTTCCAATAATGGGTGCAGAGATTCATCAAATACCAGCTTCACATCTCACCAACCAAGCCGGAACGAATGGCCGCAAACGTTTTCAACTCGCCCTCCTTGGAGCAGTTCTTCGGATGCGTTTAATTAGCCTCGGCGCAAAAGTAGCAAAAAAGGGGTTTCGATACATTTTGCAACTTGCTTTTAGGGTCTTTCTCTTTGGATTTTAAAACTTTGTTCAAGGGTCATGCCCATCTTTAATGCCTTGCAGTTGCAAGATTTCAAGTAACAGGCATGCACTGTGTATTATTCTGGTATTCATTCATATGGTGTTTGTGTATTACAATTATTAAGGATTTGACTTGCTGCAAATGCTGAAGGCAAAAAAGGCCGGATCTTTATATTTGTTGAATCATGTGTAATTATTTGTTGTAAAATTGGGATATGAAGTTTTGGCTTCTGAGAAGTTGGAGAAATTTATGTAAAATAAAAAGAAGACAATAGAGGGCCAAGTAGATTAATCATTAAACTGAGATTTTCTTTTTCTTTTCTTATTTTTAAATGTCTTTTTTACTCTTTATGTAGAGTATCTAAAGCTGTCAAAACAGATTTAGTCCTCCAAACTAGCCCTGCCCTATTTTGCAAAAAGGGCAAGGCATACCCGCCTAGTGTGTGTGTATATATGTATGGCAGATTTAGTCCTCCAAACTAGTCCTGCCCTATTTTGCAAAAAGGGCAAGGCATACCCGCCTAGTGTGTGTGTATATATGTATGTGGCCACTATTCTATACTTTCTCTAAGTACTGTAGCTCAGGGTTCGATCTTGTGACCTTCCCTCAAGGGGAGCCACAAAGGTGCCGTCTGAGCACAAGGTATATATATGTGTATAAAATACAAATATTATTTGTGTACATATAATTCGAATTATAATTTTTAATTATTTGTATTTATCAATGTTTTAATATTGGACATGAATTTTCGCGCATCGAGCGTACAAAATGCTAGTGTGTGTATATATATAAAATTCATGAAGTTAGGGCTGGGGAAGAAGGATGGGGTTCAGGGTCGGGTTGAGGTAGGGATGCCAACCTCCCCTCTGTTCCCTCAAAAAATTCTCCATCCTCACCGAGCTAGATTTTCTCTATTAGGGTTGGGTTGAATTGTTGGCCCTATTTAGAGCATCTCCAACAGTTGTGGTTTTTGAGCAATTTTTATAAGTGTGATTAGGAAAGAGAATGGAGGGGAGATCAAAAGAAACAAAACAAAACAAAGCTGAAAAAAATAGCAGTGAAACATCAGTAACGCGCCCAGCTGGCGCATGCAGTGCACGCGCCCGGTTGGGCACTGTGTTGCCATTCACGTGACCAAGTCGACCTGGAAGATTTGACCCACAAGTCTGCCAAAAATCAAGTCCCGGTTGGGCGCTGTGTTGCCATTCGCGCGACCAAGTTGGCCTGGAATATTTGTTGCTATGGATCTCACAAGTTTGCCAAAAATCAAGTTGTTGCAGAAATATTTTTTTTCCTCTTTTCTCACCCTCTCTCACCCATCTAAGCTATGATTTCTCAAAAACTCCAGCAAAAATTACTGGTAGGGATGTTCTTATAAGATGAATCATGAGATACACAATATTTTTTTTGGTGAAGATGAAATACACAATATAATTGATCGGTTGTCAAATAGCTTACCCCGACCCGGGTATTCACGGGTCAACTCGCATAATCTGGGTTGGCCCGTTTTGAAATAGTCATATTCTGACTATCTCAGCTTATAGTAATAATAAAAATAAAATCCTAATCCTCAGGATACACCATCCCAGAAAAATCTTCCAAGGAAGAAACCAAAGCCCGCTCTATCCGCACTCTTGCTAGCTCCAAGATCAGGGAAAGAACAGGTATTACCAGCTCCAACACTATGAGTCGGTTTCGTGGATTTTCCATAGCTTTTGAGACGCCTTATTGATGTAAGTCTCGTCTACTTTTCTTGGATTTATGGAAACGCTCTTCCGTGCGCTATAGAAAAAAATGGCAGCATCTTTTCCTGTTATCTCAAACGATGGGTTTTTGTCTTTCCAAGAAAAATTTAAGTTTCATAGTGGAAAGTCCAAATCTTTGTCGACACATAATAATAATAGTAGAATAATATCTTGTTCCTTATCCAATTGTAGTACTTCACTTTCTGCGCCATTGTTAGGGTTGAATTATAGCTTTTGTAAATCTCGGCAAAGATTATTACTTTGTAGCACAGAGGTTAGGTCATTAGCAAATGAGAGGAGAAATGTAGACACACATTTTAGGGAAAGGAGGGATAGTAATGAAATGAGGAGGAAGGGGAGGAGGAGAGTTTCTTTGAGATTGCGCCCCAGGTTGCGGTTATTGTCAAGGAGATTGAAACGATTCTCGGTTAGATCAGCCCTAAATAATTTTGGGACATTTCTGAGGAAGAATATGAGAGTGACACTATCAATGTCTATTTCTATTGTTCTTGGCATTTGTTACTTGTTTCTTAGATTGACGGCGGTGGCTTCTCCAAAAGTTGTTCCATATTCAGACTTGGTAACGAGCCTCCAGAGTGGTTTGGTAACTAATGTTCAGTTTGAGGAAGGCACTCGTCGTATTTACTACAATATCGACCCTGGGAATCTCGAAAACACTGAAACAGCGGAGGATAGTGTATCAGTTCCATCCGAGAGTATAGCTGGTAATGGAGCTAGCAATGAAATTGTGAGGAGTGATCGAGTTGGTAGTAAGATATTGAATAAAATGTCGAGAGGCAGAAGTTCTGCCCCTGTGTGGCAGTTTTCTACAAGAAAGATTGATCACGATGAAGGTTATCTTCTTAGTCTAATGAGAGAAAAGGGAACAGCGTATAGTGCAGCCCCTCAATCAGCGCTTATGTCAATGAGGAGTTTGCTGATTACCGTGTTGTCCTTATGGATTCCTTTGACACCCCTAATGTGGCTTCTCTACCGTCAAATATCTGCTGCCAATAGTCCTGCAAAAAAAAGGAGGCCAGCCAACCATTCGGTAAATTTCAGTGATGTGGAGGGTGTGGATGCTGCAAAAGTGGAACTTATGGAGGTAAGTCTCATTGTTGAATGATTTAATACACTGACTATTGCCGCCCTTGTCCTTTTTTAATAAAAGTGGAAAAGGTGTAACATATGTAAGTGAAGATTATTGGCAATTATACCATGGACCATGGTCTATCTTTCATTGTAGACCCTGGTCTAAAAGTAACCTTCAGATTCTATAGATATAGTTGACACATTCTGTACCTGCAGTTGATAGTTTTTGTACGTGTAGCTATCATATTATGTGTCAGCAATTATCAAGTTATTTGTTTACATGTACAGAAACGGTTAACTGTAGGTACAGAATGTGTTAACTAAAGGTACAGAATTTTTGTATCAGGGTTCAGAATGCAATATGAACCCTAGTCCATGGTATAACAATTGTTGGTTAATGCTTCACTATGTGCATGTACCTATTAACTGTTTTGCAAACTTTTCACCATGTGAATCCATTGAAATTTCTTGCACTTAGCTAGTTAGCTAGCCGTAGGATCATTTTTATGTTCTGGACGACTTCACCGTCTACTTACTTCTAAGGTTGCTAATCATGCATTTTATTGTTTGTAGATAGTTTTGTGCTTGCAAGGATCTATAAACTACAGTAAACTTGGGGCAAAGTTACCTAGGGGTCTCCTACTTGTGGGTCCACCTGGTACAGGAAAAACATTACTAGCACGGGCAGTTGCTGGAGAAGCAGGAGTACCCTTTTTCTCTGTTTCTGCCAGTGAATTTGTAGAACTCTTTGTAGGAAGGGGAGCAGCTCGCATTAGGGACCTCTTTAAAGTTGCGAGAAAAAATGCACCTTCTATCATATTCATTGATGAGCTTGATGCTGTTGGAGGAAAGCGTGGCAGAAGTTTTAATGATGAGAGAGACCAAACATTGAACCAGGTACTTAACGACTTCTATAAGGGTGTGTTTGGAAAGCAGGAAAATGACTTCTGGATAATGTTTTGTGGAAAATGAATCATTTCCCAGAAAACATTTTCCTTTCTAGTGTTTGGTTGTAATCCAGAAAACTGTCTTGGTGTGTTTGGTTCATTTTTTGGAAAATGAGTATAATTATTTTTAATTTTAAATATTTAAAATATACAATGATGGTGGGAGGGGGGCGGGGGGTTGGTAGTGGTGGTGGCGGCGGCGGCAGGTGTGACTCCCCCCCCCCCCCCCCCCCCCCCCAAAAAAAAAAATGGGAAGTCATTTTCCGAAAAATCCCCATTATTTTCCTTGACCACACCCATATTTTTTATTGACTTCCATTTTCCCCCTCTAGCCAAACACTAGAAACCTGAAAAATGATTTCTAGAAATCATTTTCCGGGTTTCCAAACACACCTTAAGTTTAAGTGGTAAGTTTGTAATGCATTAACTGGATTTAGAGTCAGTTGGCAATTTCGGAGTAGTATTTAATATGAACTTCTACATTGAGTGTCTGTTAAGAAAAAATCATATTTATTTTTTTTTGTGTGTATTTACTCTTGTAATTGGGAGGTGGAAACATTATATCAAGTGATATTTAAGATTGATTGCTTATGTTACTTGTTGGGTGGTAATTAATAATCATTCCACTGCTCTAGCTACTGACTGAGATGGATGGATTCGAATCTGATATCAATGTCATTGTTATCGCTGCAACGAATAGACCGGAAGCTTTAGATGCTGCCCTCTGTCGACCAGGGAGATTCTCCAGGAAAATATTTGTGGGAGAACCAGATGAAGTTGGTCGGAGAAAGATCTTGTCCGTACACTTGAGAGGAGTACCCCTTGAGGAAGATATGGAACTTATCTGTAACCTAGTTGCATCACTTACCCAAGGCTTTGTGGGCGCTGACCTTGCGAATATAGTCAATGAAGCTGCCTTACTTGCTGCTCGTAGAGGTTAGATTGATATACATTATACATTGTTTGTTTAGAGTTTCTGATTTCTAGCATCTCTACCCTGCCTTCTTGAATGCCGTATTTGTTGATTTATAGATGCTGCAAAGGGTTGTGATTATGATTATCATGAAATTGCGCTACAAATATTACTGTTCTCTCTGCTGTCAGAAAGAAAGGGAAACCTTGAACACCTTAAACTTTTAATAATAAATTGGTTTTCAAACCAGCTTGGTTGGCGTGAGTGGCCATGCACTCTCATCTAGGGGTGTAAATGAGCCGAGCCGCTCGCGAGCCGCTCGTGAGCGGCTCGGTCAACGCTCGGCTCGAGCGGCTCGTCAAATAAACGAGCACGAGCCGAGCCTAGATACTCTAGGCTCGTGGCTCGTCGAGCCGGCTCGCGAGCCGTATAATATATAATATTATATAATTAAAATATATAAAAATAATAATTAAAATTTAAAACTCAAAAGTCAAAACTTAAAAGCCCTATTGTTTTGAACATATCCGGGACGAAATATATATGTACAAGGAATCAAGGACTACTACTGTTGACTTGTGTTTTGTTGTGATTTGCAAACTTATTTTGAATGTTTTGAAGTTTGAACAAACAGACTTGTGTCTTCACTATCTTTTACTTCGTTGCGAAATTATTTTGAGTGTTTTGATTGAAGTTTGTATTATTTATGTATGGATAAAACAGAGCAGTTTAAATTTTAAATCAAATAGGTTAAACCGTCAAATTCAAGGTTAAGATCGAGCACGCATTTGAACCCGAGCTCGAGCCTGATCTCGAGCTCGAATTCGAGCTCAAAATCAAGCTCGAACTCGAGCTCAAGATCGAGTTCGAGCTCGAGCTCGAACAATTGAGCTGCTCGAGCCGAGCTCGAGCAGCTCGATAATTGCCGAGCTCGAGCTCGAGCATCCAGTTACGAGCTCGATCGAGCTCGAGCTCGAGCTCGAGCATAGCTGCATTTAACGAGCTCGAGCTCGAGCATACCCATGCTCGAGCTCGGCTCGACTCGTTTACACCCCTACTCTCATCCCGAGAGGTCGGGAATTCAAAACCCCCTCTCTCGTATGGAAAACCAACATGGCCAGCACTTTACCCCTTATTGGGCCAGCCCAGTGCGAACGGGGATTAGTCTGAGTATGGTACAGGCTTAAAGGTGCTTCCTATAACCAGCTTGGTTGGCGTAGGTGGGCCGTACACTCTTGTTCCTTAAGAGAGATCGGGAGTTCGAACCCCCTCTCGTATGAAAAAACCAATCTAGCTAGCATTTGCCCCTTAATTGGGCCGGCCCGGCGCGAACAGGGATTAGTCTGAGTATGGTATGGGCTTAAAGGTGCCTCCTACAGTTAGGGCTTGCTCAGGACACAGCTTGTGGTCTGACAAAAAAAAATAATAATAAATTGGTTTTCAGAGTTCCATTGAAGCCTTTATGCAGCCTTAATTTATGTTGTCTCTTTTTCCTCCCACTCCCCTGTTGATTATCGTCATTTGAAACAAAATGGAAATTGCATCTCATGCAGTATTCTGATATGCTTTTTCCCTTTATGTTTCTGAAATATTTTGTTTTGGCCATAAAAAATGTTTGTAATGTCCGTTTGCTGCTTCGTTATGTCAGTGCCAGATGGTTTACATATTTGTGGTCTCAACTCTTTGTCTTTTATTTCACATCACAGGGTCCGAATATGTCTCAAGAGAAGATATAATGGAAGCAATAGAAAGAGCAAAATTTGGGATTGACAACAAGCAATCCAGTCCATTAGGTAAGGAGCTAGGGAAATTGTTCCCTTGGGTACCTTCTCTAATGAAGATGAATGATACGAGACGAGATGGATTTCCAGGGCCTTTGGGATATCAGACACTGAGCTGAGTATTATGCGCTTTTACTACTTCTCAAGTGAGTGTTTTTTCCACGCTGAAATCTCACGAAATCTCGTAGGTTACTCTTAATTTGGTGGAAATATGTTCAGATGAAGATTGCTGATCATGTTTTTGTATCCTTCTTTTATGTTGTCTGGAATCACACAAGAATTTGGCTATTATACAACTTGGTACCCATGGTTTCTTATCCTATTTATTTATTCTCAGAGAAAGAATTAGTTATCTTAGGTATGTCATGATAGACTTATGGTCATTTATTAATTTCTGTATGAGCAGGTTAAAAAACAAAAAAGCAAAACTCAAGTGCTCCAAAAAATGCTTCCTAATGCTCTCCAATTAATTCCTTGGTTCAAGAATTGCCCAAAATTCTTCAGTTTCTCACTTGTGAATACTTGTGCCTTGAAATAAAATCAACACAAATTAGTTATAATCCACACAAGTTTTGAAGTAATTCACAAATAAAATGGATTAAGAAGGGATAAAAATATAGACAATAATACACTTATCAATTTCTTCACACTTAAACATTTGCTTGTCCTCAAGCAAATTAAAGATAAAGAATAAATCACAAATCTAATATTGAAGTTGATCATACTCCACTTTTTGCACAACCAATCAAATCACAAATCAAACTTGATACAAGGCAATATGCTTCAAGAATCATCTTAGCTAGACATACAAGTTTCATTCTAAAGCCAATAATCAAGCACCAAGACCATTAAGCTATGTGAGAATCTAATGCGTACAAATACTAAGTTGAGTTTATGCAAAATTTGACATTGGAAAAACATACAATAGGCTTGCTATTCATACACCTATTAGTTTAGATCTAAAATTACATGCTAAGATCAAGTAGGGTTTTAGTTGGCTCGTTGATAAACGTTAATTCTTAGTACTTTTATGTGTACAATTGATCTCAAACTCATGTGATTTCATATTAATTGGAAGCTAAGTATGTGATTATTTTATCCATTTGTGCCATTTAGGTGATTTGGAGACATTGATTGTAACATCATGTAAATTAGAGCTCAATTGGATGTGTTTTGAAGTTATCTTGGCACAAAGATGTGTTTCGAGAGTCATGAGAGTGCAAAAAAGTGAGTTCGAAGTATCATCGCATGACCCGGGGACCCAAAGGAACAAAAGAGATGAAGAAATATGCATTTTGGAGTGAAGAACATGGCTCACGGCGTGAGTGCCAACGTAGCTCCATTTTGCTCTGCACTTTTCTCTACCAGGCGACGTCTCGGTATTTTGAGCATATCTCATCATATGGATATCCAAATTAAGTGATTCCAATGGCATTGAAAATGTATTTCAAAGGGCTACAACGTCTATGAAGACAATAAATTCTAGTTCTAACATCTATAAGGTGAAAATAGCCTAGAAACCGGAACTACTGTGTAGAGTATAAACTCACGGCGGGACTCACACTGTAAGTGCCAGCGTGAGTCCCATAATCATAATCTTTTTTCTTGGACTCACGGTACTGTGAGTCCAGCATGTCCTCACATCCAGTAAACTCTAAGTTGGCACGATTTTCAGGCTATAAATACCAAGAGGCGGTTATTTCTTGAAAACCTTTCATTATCCACTCTCTCTCTCTCAATGTTTTCTTAGAAAGAGAACCTCTCCAAACATTTCATTTGTATAATCAATACAACTTTGAAGAATATTTGAATAACAATTTCAAATTTTATCTTGCAATTTGCAGATTTAATTTTCCATAGTTCTTAATCCAAGCTAAGTCTTTCTTGTTTCTTTTGTATTTTCTTTCTTCCAATTGTGATTGCATGTCTCTTGTTTCAGTTAATGCTTTCATTTAAATTCCTAAGATGCTTAGCTAGATTCAATTAGGGATTGGATTAAGTCATATTTTGTGATTGATGTTATATGATTGAATTAGTTGTGAACTAGTGTAATGACTTGCTGATGGCGCTAGTTGTGAGATTGGTTATTTGTATTGACTCTTGTATGGTTGTGACCAAATTATACAAGAGGTACATGGATAAGGTGTTGCCACTATAAGAGCATAGCAATACCATAGCCACACAACTCACTAATCCAACTCTTCTTTGAGAAAAGGGGGCTAGAAAGAGATGCGAACACCACATGTGTGATAAAATGCTTCAAATCCTTCAATGGCCTTAAGTCACCATGAGAGTGGCGTTGGTACCTAGTAGCATCTCTATAGTTCCCTTGTCAATGCATTATGTGAGTTCTAACGAATGATGTACTATATCATCTACACTGAAGTGACCTAGTCCAAGCACTGCTCCATTTATAAAGCAGGAAAATGACTTTTGGAAAATAAATTATTTTTCAAAAAACATTTTTCTTTCCCGTGTTTGACTGCACAATAGAAAACTTTCTTTTGTGTGTTTGGTTCATTTTCCAAAAAAATGAACATAATTGTATATATTTCAACATTTTAATTATTATATACCCAAAAAAAATATTTTTTATTGTTTTGTTTAGAATATAACTTATTTTATTTCAAATTCTATACAACATAAGTTTGGGATATATCAATCATAATGCCTTTGCTCTCAATCAATTATTATTATTATTATTATTATTATTATTATTATTATTATTATTATTATTATTATTATTATTATTATTATTTATTTATTTATTTATTTATTATTTATTCCGGCTAAAAATCCTAAAATGCTCTCTTCGTCTCTCTAGCCCGATTTCTGACTCTCCTCGAGACTAGGGTTTATGTGCCAACGAACAATTGCAGAATTTACGAAGCTCCCAACTATTTTCATCTAACTTGGAAGCGCTCCCTCGTAATCTCCTTACATTTTCATCGACATGGTTGAAAGGAAGCTCTACAAAACCAAGCTCTGCGTGCTCTATCAGAAAGGCCACTGCCACCGCCAAAGCTGCTCCTTTGCCCACGGCGACGCCGAGCTCCGCCGCTTCTCCGCTCCCTTCGATGGTAATTCTTGTTTCTCACTATATTATATTCAATTCTTGGTTTCTTTCCGCGTTTATTCTTGTTGGATTGAATGTTTGTAATTTACCACATGGCTACTGAAATGAGAAGGAAAATGTTGTGCTGTAAGTTCACATGTTTTGAGTAGTCCAGCAATTAGGTTTTAGCGCAGAAAGGTTCTGAGATGATTCTCAAATTCTTTTTATTAAGCTTCTTAGCTTGTTGATGGAGGTGTCCAGTTTTCAATTATCATTTTCATTTGTTTCTCTTTTGGGTGCTAATAGCCAAATTAAGAGAACTATTTTTCTTAATGTGTAATGTTGAGAGCATAAGACAATGTTTATTTAATTGCTATGCTGCGAAGTGGTATGAAGGCAGAGGTGTTTTAGAGGAGAAAAATATTCTTTGATGAAATGAAATTCATACCGTTACTAGAGTACTATGATGGCTATCTCCTGCTTTGAAATTTGTGTTAGTGTAACAGGATGGCTCTGGTGCCAATGTGCCATTACTTTGCATACCGATGAATTTGATATTGCTTGATTTGAATCTTAGTGTTTGGCCGTCTTGTGGAGTGCACAAATATGCTAATATTTCATTCCTTTATTACATTTGATGATTTGAATTCATTATTCATTAATTATGAAATTTGGTGGGATGCTTGCATCTTTCTTTTGCGATTTCTAGAGTATATGAACCCTTGAAGGCCTTGAATTTGGTTTACAAAGTTTTACTTTGTATCAATATGTATGTATGTATGTAATTTTAACTTAAGCTACTTTTCATTATATCGTTGGTGCTAATGAAAATAATTGATTCCTTTACTCACTTTATATTTTAATTGCTCCATTATTTCCACTCAACAACCCCTACAACTATCCTACCATCAAATAAGAGCATTTTGTGCTTGCCAGTTTATCTATTCTTTTTATGTTTCGATCTAATGGAAGGCCAAATAAATCCAATTGGTGGGTGTATGGGTGCAGTATTCACGGATTGTAATCATATTTATTTGTCACCTGAATGGCCATATTGTTGAGTCTGAATTGGAAGTGTTTCAGGTTCTCATAGTAAGTTGAGGCTTTACATTGGTCATCAATAACTACAGAGTAACTGACAGCTTAGTATTTTTTATCAGAGAGGATTTTGCTGGTTGGGTTGTCATTATGCTACTTGTGGTCTGTTTCATGGAATCTTGGTTAATCATAATGCATCTAGAAGATGCAGCACATGCAAGAGCAGAATTAGGTTTCTCTGGACATAATCTCTTCCATATGCATAACTCACTTGCCAGCTTGATGTACCATTCAAATGCTATATCCTAGAAAATCCACAATTTGCATATTCTTCCAGAATGTGGTATTTTCTTGTGACTTCTCTCTGAATGATATTGCAATGGGAATCTCTTCAATGGATCTATTAGTCCAAGGAGGTCAATAAATTTCCTGTGATTACACTTTCTCTTTGAAATGGCTGCAAGCAGAGACCTATGCTATAACAATGTTTTCTTATTCAGCGAGATCGGAATGAAGTCTATCATATTTTATCAGTTGCTTCTACGATATTTGAAGGGTTTTTTTTGAAAGGAGTAAACCTCAAAACTGGTACAACTATGTCTATGTATTATTTGAGAGCATAGTTTCTACGGCATCTTTGGTATTTCCAAGAAGGCAATATTAATTTCATTATTATGTTTCTCATATATTTCAGTATAATGGTAAGCCTTGCTTAATGGTTGAATATTGCTCATTCCTTGTTTGCTGGCTTTTTTGACTCGACTAATATTATATAGTAACTGTCTCTATCTGACTGGAATATACTTTTCTGTCCTCATTTCAGGAAGGCGGGACTATCGAGGTGATTTGAGAGAAAAGCTAGATAGAAGGCGTTCTCCAGTGCATAGATACTCTCCTAAACGAGATTCAAGTGGGAGACATGCATCCCATGGTCAGAATTGCATATTCACCATTTTTATTTTGCTGTGCTATTAATCCAATTCACTGTTCTTTTGATGGTTGCGTTGTGCTTGTTAACAATTGCTACAATGCTAATCAAACTTGTTACATTTTATTTGGTAGCACTTCTTTCATCCATAAACATCTGTCAACAAAGCGATAACTTACTTTGATAACCATTGCATAACTTTGAAATGCAAATTTCCCATGGTCTACGTGACAGTTTCTAAGTTTGCTTTCTGAAATGTGAGATAGCAATTGTTATGTCATTATTTATGTTTTTATTCTTATATTTTCTTCAATTACACTCTCAGGTGACAGTCCTTCTGGGTCTCTTGGGAAAAGGAGGTAACTTCCTACACAAATATTTATGCCTTTCATTTCATTGACATGGTGATATTAGATTTTGATCAAATTATGTATTTGAGGTTTTTCTTTAACTCCTTGAGCATGTGAACATATAGTTCCATCACTATGTGTTGCAATCAGAAATGATATTGGATTTTGAAGAGATCATCTGGTTATCAACATGGATATTTACTCATAAGTGGGCAACATGGGGTTTTTGAAGTTAAAACTCACATTTAATGAATGTATTTACTCGCACATGTGGTTCTTTCACCAATACCATTTTCTTCACCTGTGGGAATTACTGTACCTGTTTTGAAAGTTAAAAGTGAATATATCTCGAGTCACAATCCATGCCATTAGGCAGGCTGTTTATTACCTTTGTTGTTTGGTGAGCTTGGTTGCACATGCAGCTGTTACCCAAGGGGATTGTAGCACAAATATAAAATGCCTGATTCTAAAACATTAAAAAAACAAGAGTTGCCAAAAAAAAAAAAAAAAACAAAAGCACTGATATAGTTTTATGTATATACCATAAACTGCATATAAACTGCATATTGCATTTCATTTCCTTACTTTTGGAGTGCCATAATCCTTTTTAAATATCTGTTTGATCTGAAAACGTTGGGTCCATCATCAGGATGAAGGAACCTTCTACATGTTTTCTCTGCTATTGTCTACTAGTATAAAAATCTCTTATGTTGTGGTAGAAAACACCAAAAGAGGCAGCATCCAGATGGCCAGAGTGACTTCTCTGAAAGTCTCCAAACATCAAATGGGACTGAAGATCTTTTGAAGAACAAGAAGTGCATATCTGCTGATTCTAAAGATGCCCTTAAGGTATACTTGTGAAAGATTTTGTTTGTTTGGAGCTAATTTCCTGGCATCCTTAATTTCCTATAACCCCTTTGATCCCTTTGATCCCAATTGTGCGGCTTTGTTTTTGTGTCTTAAGCATTTTTAAATCTGAAATTTGTAGATAAGGCAATTGCAATCTGAAATCAAGATGCTGGATGACCGCAAAAGAGAATTGGAGGTTAGTTTTGATCATGTGCATCTTTAGTTATACAGTATATTGATGATTAGAAGTTTCTCTTTCTTTCTGACTTTCTGGCTGTTCTCTTTTTATGTATCCTTTTTTCCAATAAATCAACAGCTTGATTTACAAGATAGACATATTACACTGATCAAACATAGTAACCCTGCAAACACCATCCACATCAAGAGCCCAATCCCCACTAAGCCGCCTTGGCACCCTCGAAAAATCAGATATCTGTCCTATTTCTTAAAATAATGACCAACTTCCCTGCCCTTTCCCAGTTTGCTGACATCAGCATCATGCTTGTTCAAAGCACCACTCATAAATTGATAAATGTAAAGAGAATTTAGCTCCACTATCTCCTTTTTTCAGTTTTATTCTAATCTGGCAACATTTTGGTAGAGTTACCTTGTACCAAGCCTGAAAAGAGTAGCAGGCTTTAAATTTTTGTGTGTCTAATCCTTATTCTCTGTTCTTTTGTTCCTGTGATGCTCTATTCTTTTATTAGTCTTAAATAGGAAATTGGTTGGAATTAGAACGTACCTTCTTATCAAATTGTAATCTCAATCTCAGTTTTGATTGTTGTAAGGTTTACCTGGAAGATAGATCTCGAGATGCAGACAATCTGACCTTAAAAGTTCAAGAGCTTGAAATGCAGTTGTTCAAGGAAAAAGAAGAATGTAAAAGGTGATTGCTTGAGCTGGAGAGAATTTTGCCTTTGTCATCTTACGACTTACATTTGAAGTGCTCTTGTAGACATCATTCATTTCTTTGACATCCTTTTTATTTTATGGTTTGTTCAATTTCAAGGATTACATCAAAAATTAAGAAGTTCACTGAGGCACATAAGCGTCTCTCTCGTTTACAAGATGAAGTCAAGAGGTATCCTTCAGCTGTAGAAATCATTTTTTACTTTCTTCAGATTGCTTTTGCTCTCACCTTTATTAATTCTTTGTGTGATGGTGTTTGATTGTGTTGGGCCTATGTTTTCTTTGTTAAGTTCCCTATTAAAGACTCAGTAGAGATTATATACTCCTATAGGTCAGATGCTCAACTTCAAAAGCTTGGTGAAAAACTTTGCTCAAATGCTGGTGCAAGTGGAGATGATTTAAGCATGAACATAATGACTGATGGAGAAGCTGTAGGTATTTATCCTACTACCTATGGTGGGATGAAAAAGAACATGTCCCCACACAAGAAAAGGTCACGAGTGAGCTTGGGAGCTGTGGAAGCACCAGATCAAGGTAGGCATGAGAGTAAATGATTATTAAATATTTATGACACCTATGAACAAATAACTGTAAAATTCTTATGATAATTGAAATCTTAAGGACAAAATCCTTTGCGGCTGTTAACTATAAAAAGCTTCTGAATCATGTCGTCAATTTTCAGTTTGCTTGTTATATGCATGCTAGTGTTTGAATTTCTTTTTTCTTTTTAATTACTTTTAAAGTAAGCTTTGTGGATCTTGGACAAAGGCGGAAGGCCCTTGTTTCTTTAAAACCTCTTTGTGTTATTAACGACCGTAATCAAGCATCTATTTCCACATCTTTTATTCCTCACATTTAGGAAGAGCACATAATGAAATAGAATATAAACTCTTTTCTCAGATCTGGTTTTCATGGTTCTGGCTCATCTCTGTTTTACCATGTCATCATTCCATGATAACTGGCTTTGTACTTGTTGTAAGTTGGCAGCTGTACTGCTAACTAAGCTTCATATTATGTTGACTTCATTGATCATTTCTGCCTGTATGAACCTTCTGTATAATTGCATTGGTTAATATACAATATATTTAGAGAAAGCATGCACACTTATAAAACCAGATGTTCCCAATTTCAATAACTCCATAGTGCCCCTCTCACCAAGTCTGAGGTTTCCCTTTGAAGAACCTTAAAAAACAGATGTCCTGTGTCTGTTTCTTTGGGTATTCTGAATTTACTTGGATAGGATGCAAAGTTAGATAATCTGCCTAATGTTTAGTAATAACATTTGTATTGATTTGGATATGTGTGTCATAATTCTCACATTCCTCCTTTTCTCCCATTATTTCTTTAGTTTATACAAACATGACTTCTTTCATTTGTGTTTGAATTTCTGGCTATTCTTTTTCATAGGTAATGCATCAAAAGGAGGAGCTGGCATGGAAAAGATAAGATTGGAAAATCTATCTCGAAGAAATGTGCTTCAGATTCGATCTAGTAATGACAAGAAAGTTAAAGCAGATATCAATACGAAAAATGGTTATCAGGTTACAGCAAATGAAGACAGGCCTAAAAAGGGGATAGATCATTCTACTAACACAACATTGGTGGAAAAGGTGCTTCAAATTCTCCCCTAGCCTCACCCACCCACTCACATACTCAATCCTCTCTGGATTGTCATCCCTTAAAAAGAATTATGTTCTGTTTTTACTTAAATTATCCTGAAAAAAAGCTTTTTCAGCTCTAACCTTTTTTTGTGTTCAAATATTTCATTGGCCTGCCCTGGTGAGTAATTATATTTAGAAATATTCTCATTACATTGCCCTGAAAAATGATTATAAGATGAATGAGAGTGGCAGAATAAAATTCTTTTTGATAGTTAATTCCAGTGGTAGGGCAGGGCTGTGTCCATTCAATTCCCTTGTCCTGTATGACATGGGAGCCTTGTGCACTGAATACAGTCTGGTGTCACAAATTCCAGTCCTTCGATTACTGAATCCATTAATGAACAAATATCTGTCTACTTTATTTTCTAAACTGTCTTAAAATTTTCCTTGTCTTATGCTTTAAACGTGTTGAGAAGGTGGTTTTAGATGCTGTGCTACCTTTTTCAGTTATTTTGCCTGTTGTCACCTTTGAGTGCAAGCAGCTAGACTATTTTGCATTCTATAGCATTGAATAGATAATCTTTTTGTCTTTTGTGGGACATCGAAATGATTTGCTCCTTGAAATTCTGCAGCCCAAGGTTTTCTCGGATGCCTGCCTTTTGTTGCCTCCAACAGGCTTGGCAGCTCATGCAACAGATGAAGATGTTGAAATTGTTGAAATGGAGGAAAAGCGTGAGATGTTTGGAAATTCTGCTGCAGTATCTGGAAAGGAAGCTGTTTCTAATGTCACAAAGTTTCCTTTTCTACCACCCCCACCACCGCCCCCGATCTCTAAAGATGCATATTCACAGGTCAGCTAATTAAACACACACTAGTCTAGCATTAGGCGGCCTTTACAATCGTCATTTTCTTACACCGCACAATCCAAAGGTAACAATTTCACTTGCAGCTCAAGGGTGAAGATGAGAATGTGGACATAGATGGGGTTGACGAAGAGACAGTGGAGGTGGATATTGTTTAACATTTGCTTCCCTAACTATATGATACTGCAAGCTGTAGTATTTTGGTATATATTCTTGTGCATCATCTCATTTTAGGACTAGGGAGCACTGAGCTACTATACAATTCTATGTACGAATGATAGGCACGGCAGGCTGGAGAAGGGGGAGGGATAGAGTTCTGTATAGCAGGTATATTAATCCCTAACAAGTTTGCTATGCTTCATTTTGAGGGCAAGGATTTATCCGCTTTCTGTAGTGTATGGAATTCTCATGTCTCATATACACGTCGATGAACTTCTAGGTTTTATTCAGAGTACAAATTTGACTTAAAAAGTGGGAATACTTTCCTAAATATTGTGCATTTTGGAATTTGGTGCCTCCGCCATCTCAGGTTTAATTTGTGGTTTTTGTGTCTTGTTCATAGTTACAATCTGGTGAACAATGCACTCCATTTTCCCATTTACTCTTTTGGTATCTATGAGTTCCTCTGTTCTAATTTTTAGTTCTTCTATTGCCTGATTTGACAATAATGAAATTTGCCTTAAATACTCTAGGTTTGTTTTTAGTAGATTTATTATATACGGAGTAATAAATTTCACTTTTGGTCCCCTAAATTACCTGTATCGCATTTGGTCCGTGACTATTAAAATTTTCTAATTAGGTGCATGACTATGTAATTTGTATCACATTTGGTCTTGTCGTTCAATTTCTCGATCGACTATTGTCGGAAGTGTTTCTTCCAAAAGAAGCAAATGCAGTGCTTCTTCCGGAAAAAGCAAACGTAGTGCTCCTCTCGGAATGAGCACTTTCGGCAATAATTGGTTAGGAAATTGGACGACATCACCAAATGTGATACAAATTACATAGCTATGCACCTAATTAGAAAATTGTAATAGTTATGGACCAAATGGGATTCATGTATAATAATGAGGAATCAAAAGTGAACATTTCTCTTTATTATATCTTGATACAAATTCATTTGTAGTGTGGGGTTAGTGTATTCCATGTCAAAATGGATTTGTAGTAAATTAAAAATAACTTAAAATATATTAAAAATTAACCAATAATAAGAGTATCTTATTAGGTGGATCTTGGTCCGTGTGGTAAATGTATCTGTTAGATTATTTGGTTGAAATGTTACGACTTACAGGGATGAAAAAAATATTAATATATATGATATTAAATACTCCGTACAAGTCAATTTTATTAAAGAAAAATGAACACTAATGTTGAGATAACAGTAATGAAGATGCCATGTACTTTGAGAGTTTAGATTTAGTTTTATTCTGTAAAAAAGGCAGAACAAAATATAGAATAAAGATAACCACTACCGTTTGATTCCCCTAGTCAAGTTCATCTTTGTTTTCGAGTTTAGGGCAACTGTGAAGAACTTAAATAATATCATTAGATGAGAAAAATTTTATTTTTAGTGTTACTATTTTTTTTCCCAGTACTATTGACTCTGTTACAATGTAGTATCTGTTCATAACTACTTTCTCAATTTACTGAAGCACAAGAGTCAATATCTCCCTCTGACTGATGATTTCTCATTTGGGAGAGCTATTTCGTGCTAATAGATTACAAGATCATGATAATTAAAATAAAGATATTGGCATTTCAATAGGTTAATGATGAAATAATGTTCTATATTTTGTTATTGATTAATTAAATGCCGTTTGAATTGTAATTATTATTTGACCAAATTAGGTGAGATGACAATTTTTAAAACGGTGACGATCATTTTGATAAAGTGTATTACATTTCATTTCATAAATTTGTTTCTTAATATACCCTTTTCTTTAATGAGATATATTTCATTTGCTTTTTGGGTAATAGAGTTTTAATGCCATGCTAAAAATTATAAAACGAAAATGGTCCAATAAATCCTTGAACTTAAAAAAAATAAAAAAAAATAAAAAATAACAAAATTTTCAAACTCAATAAAATTATCTATCTAAATCTTGTTTATGCGACTGATTATCACCGACTACCTTCTTTAGGTGGCTACTGTGATAGCGGTGGTGAAAAATTAGGAAATTCATATTTCTCAATTGAAACTTTTTAAGGTTTAAATTCTAATTGTTTTTTTTTTTTAATAAAAAGTTAGAAAGTTTATTTAACTTTTTTTAAAATTAATTATTAATAATTACATTTTGAGAAAAATGATTATTTTTGTAAAAAATAATAATTTTCTATAATGCCTAACTTTGTGATATTTGCATTATAAATTTGTATAAAACAAGAGTCATTAACGATATAATTATTATTTTTAATTAGAGAAAAAATGGTTAGATAAACCATTGAGCTTTAAAAAAAAAAAGTAATTAGATTTTGAACTTTAAAAAGTTACAATTAAGCATATTAACTCATTGGTTGATGTAATTAAACTAATAATAACTTGTTAAATTATTACAATTAAATTAATTATCAAGTAAATCTAAGCTAAAATATGGTGACATGTCAATTTTTAATAAAAAACAATAAAGAAAAAGAGTTAAATAAACATTATACAAAATGGTAATTAGATCCTCAAACTTTAAAGAGAGATAATTAAACTCTCAAACTTTTCATTTTGGAGCATTCAAACTCAATAACTGATTATCCACCTAGAAGAATCGGTCATTAGGTTCCCGTGACAAAATCATTGACCGACAAACGGTCGTTGTCGCCACTATTAGTGAATGGTCGCAGTCTACTAGAGAAGGTAACCAGTAACCACTAGTGACCCCTTTTTTTTTTTGTTTTTTTTTGTTTTTTTTTGTTTTTTTTTTTTTTTTTGTTTTTGTAATGGAAGGTCATAATTACAATAGTTATGCTGTGGAATCATGTTCACAATGCGCATGATGGATACGGGATAGATCCATAATTTTTAAACCGTAGATTCATAATTTATATACTGTAGATTCATAGCATCTATACTGTAGATTCATAATTTTTATACTGTAAATTCATAATATAGTTATGTGATTTGTGAATACAAAGTTCAACAATTGCGATATATGAACATCGATTCATAATTTCTATACTGTAGATTTATAATTTCTATACTGTAGATTTATGATTTCTGTACTGTAGATTCATAATATTTGTACTGCAAATATGAAATAATGCGATTGCGAAGAGAGAAACGTCGTTAGCAACAAATGAAAAACAAAATTATGAATCTACAGCATAGAAATTATGGATCTACTTCTGTGTTCACCATGCATATGGTGAACACGTTTCCACAGCATAATTACTTTTGGGTTTAAACTTCAAGTCAACCCCTTTACCTTTTAACTATTTTAACTACGGGCTTATAGAGAAATCAATTGAATTTTGTATTAACATTTTTTAGCCCGCTGAACACCTATCCATGAGCGTAGAAGGAGATAATCACGAGTCGCCTAGCCAGTTTATAGTTTCCACTCCTGTGACTCTCCATATTTTTTGTGGGAATCAAAACTCTATTTTAAAATTAAAACAAAATTTTTAAGATGATCTTTTAACTAAGCCCTTCGGAGACATTAACATTTTCTTTGCGGACTGGCTTGCTCTCAACCTCAACAGCCTGGATGAGGAGGAGAAAACTGCTATGACAACAATTGAAAAAATGACTAAAATGTTAAAGAAGCATGTATTTCTCAAAATGTGGCTGATCATTTTTGTGGACAAAAATATGAAAATGATATTTGGGACATGCGTGAGATGTCAGACCACAAACGCAAGTGGGACTTGCGATTTTTTTTTCTTCTTTAAATTTGGTCGCCGGCAACTAGCGACTTCTCCGCCGGCGATACCGATCACCGGTTTCTCCAGCGAAGGAGAAGGCCACCACCACTGGTTGCTTTCTCCTTTCGCTGGAGAAGCCAGCGATTTGGTCGCCGGTTTCTCCAGCGAAGGAGAAGGCAACCAATGGCCTTCTCCTTCACTGGAGAAACCGGTGATCGGTGTCGCCGACGACCAAATTTAAAAAAAAAAAAACAAAAAACAAAAAACAAAATCGCAAGTGGGATTTGCATTTGTGGTCTGACATCAAACACATGTCCCAAACGTCATTTTCATATTTTTGTCCACAAAAATGGCCAGCTACATTTTGAGAATACATTCTTCTTCCTTCACATTCCAGTCATTTTTCCCAACAATCTATTAGTCCATTCGAATGGCAGAGAAGAACAAAATATGGAATAACAAGTAACCCCACCCCCCCCCCCCCAAAGAGTCATCGTGGAGAGGGCAAAATCCAACTTTAGAAGCTGAAAGATGCAAATAAGGGCAAAATCCAAGCTTAGAAGCTGAAAGATGCAAATATACCGGTCACTCCTAACCCAAATGCTTATCCCACTTTCACTGTTAAATGGGAGAGACCTCCATCAGGTTGGTGTAAAATAAATATTGATGTTGCTGTTGACAAAGAAGGAAAGAGAATAGGTTTGGGATGGATCCTGCGAGATGAGTTCAGATGTTTTAATGGAGGAGTAGCCATGCCATGGAAGGGTGTTTTCTCGCTATTAGAAACCGAAGCCATTGTCATTAGAGAAGCACTAAGTTGGCTAAAGGAGAAGCAGATGGACAAAGTGAAAGTTGAATCGGATGCCAGGATCGTAGGCAAATGTTTAAATTTAAAGTTGGGTGTTTCATATCTTGATTTGTTATTGTTGGATATTAAAGATATGATGAGCATGATTGCTAAAATTGATATCTCGTTTGTAAAACGTTCAACGAATCAGACTGTTTGTTTTTTTCTTTAAATTTGGTCGCTGACAACCAGCGACTTCTCCGGCGGCGACACCGATCACCAGTTTCTCCAGCGAAGGAGAAGGGCACTGGTTGCCTTCTCCTTCGCTGGAGAAACCAGTGATCGGTGTCGCCGTCGACCAATTTAAAAAAAAAAAAAGCAAAACCGCAACTGGGACTTGCGTTTATGGTATGACATCACAAATGTATGTCCTAGCCACATTTTGAGAAATACATGCTTCTTTCTTCACATTTCAGTCATTTTCCCCAACAATCTATTGGTCCATTCGGATGGCAAGGAACAACAAAATATGGAATAACAAGTCAACCCCCCCCCCCCCCCCTGAAAGAGTCATCGTGGAGAGGGCAAAATCCAACCTTAGAAGATGAAAGATGCAAATAATATCATTTGGACAAAGTGAAAGTTGAATCAGATGTTGAGGTCGTAGTCAAAGGTTTAGATTCAAAGTTGGGTGTTTCATCTCTTGATTTGTTATTGTTGGATATTAAAGATATTATGAACATATTTGCTAATATTGATATCTCATTTGTAAAACGTTCAGCAAATCAGGCTTCCCATTTTGTTAGTTAGAAAATCGGTTTCTATATCCGAACATTGGGAGTGAGTTTTCATCCTCCTTCCTTTCTATGTAATGTTCTAGTTGATGGATGACCTGAATTAATATCATTTGCTGATTTGGTTTAAAAAAAAAACATTTTCTTTGTTACTGAATACTGAATAGGGCCATAGGGGTGAAAAAAAAAAGTACAGTACGAAGGCTCTGTTTGACAGAGCTTATAGCTTATTTTAAGCTACTAATAAGCTATAAACTTTGTTTGGCAATGTTCCTAAAATAAGCTCTTAACTTAAAATAAGAGCTTATTTTGGCACGCTGCTTTAGGTAGCGTTTCAAAATAAGCTCCTAGCTTCCTAACTTTTTTTTTCATCTTTATCCTTATTATTTTAAAGAAATGACATAATTTACTCTTCTCAATTAAAACCATTTTCTCTTCTCCTTTAATTTATCCGCAACTTTCACTGCAATTATTATTATTATTATTATTATTATTATTATTATTATTATTATTATTATTATTATGAGATTTGCAACAATATTGTTACTTCATTATGAGATACTAGATCATGATTATATTAATAGTTTTATTTCAAAACGTTAATTTTTTCTAAAGACAAAATGTTAAATTTTAATATGTAACCAAACTAATTTAAATTTTACGAAGATGTCCTTTTTAGTCTTTTTACCTTTATCAGCTTGTCAAAAAGCTAATTTTACCAAACACTTTCAATCATAACAGCTAGCTTAACAACTCTTCAATTTTCAGCTCCGAGCTTATAAATTTTCAACTTTCATCTCCTTTTCAGCTTTCAACTCATACCTTATAGCTTTTCAGCTAGGTTTGACAAACAAAGTCCAACAAAAACACGACAAGGACACGTGTCGGTATCAAGTCAAATCAAGGCGGAAAGTACAAACATATGCGCCTCCTCGACGGTTACCTCTCCGATTATATTTTCTGGAGAACAGATTTCGAAACTCCATATATTCATGCATCGACTGATTCGCACTCCGCTCGCTTTCCTCAACTCGTCCGAGTCAACCCGTCTCCTCTCACTCGCCGCCCCGCCTCTGCGTCGATTCTCCCACCTCAGATCTCTCGCCGTCGTTTCTCTCCTCCCTAAACCCCCCTCGACGCAACCCCTACGCCATTCCCGACCGCCGTTGTGCGCCGACGCGATGGACTCTAATCCCTTGTCGGCTTCCGCTATCGAGGATTTTGTTCACGTGGATGGAGCTGGAGCTGGAGCTGGAGCTGGAGCCGGAGCGGTAGCGGACTCCAATTTTGAGCCCGAAGGTTCCGAGGAGAGTGTCGTGGCGGATACCGCCGTCGAGGAAGCCACGAGTGGGGAAGTTGAGTCACAAGGCTATGTGAGGAAGGTGTTGCCGGAGGAGCTGTCGAAGAGTGTGGTTATGCTCAATTGCGACTCGTCTGCTGAAGGGGGTGCTTGCGATGTGTACTTGCTCGGCACTGCTCATGTGTCTGCGGTAAATCCTGATTTTGCATTTATACTTTATGATTATTTTCTGCTGAAAATTGGAGTTTAAAAAAAATATATGTTTAGGTTATAAAAAGTTTTGAGATCAATGGGAATACTGACCTTTATGTGTAGCAGTGTTCTCCTGGTATTTGCTTGTTGTTTTGGGATGTTTGGTGATCTTATTGAGAAGCAATTGCACAATTTTGGTAGAAATGTCAATTGCAGATATTTCTCCTTTTTGCAGTTTTATTTGGATATGAATGTGCAATTTTTTTCTCATTTCTTGACCAAGGAAGAATTCTGTATATTTTATTTTTGGATTTGTCCGATAGTTCCAGAGAAAATATAAGAATCTGGTTTTGGAAATTTGCCTTTAGATGCAGTGTTGTTCAATTCCTTGTTTTGTTTTTGCCTCTTCTCAGGTGTTTTTAGTATGTTTTTTTCCCCTAAAGAAAGCACTTGGTTGTCAAGTTGATAGTGACATGCTCACACAATTGGATGATCATCCTAACTACTACCCACACAGTTCTCAGACGTGGTGATGCTAATTTATCAGCAATTCTTGTTCTTGGATTGTGTCCCAAACTGGGAGAAACAGTGAAGTTACTCAAACTGCTGTCAAGTGATGCAGAAGTAAAATGGGGGACAAATATTGAACAGTCAGTTCCCATTTGATATACACTTAGAAAACACTGATTGGATTGATACATTAGACAATGAGGATATGCTAATGGCCTTTTTAGATTTTTGCTTTTCTTTGTTGTTGTGAAGTTTCTTCTTTTGTCAGTGGTAAATACCTTTTCATCTGAGGCTTAATTAAATTTTTAGGATCTAAAATGTGTTAAGGAAGTGATATTTGGGGAATAGATCATTATAGAAAATCTAATTGACATGGCAGTTCTTGTATGTATTCAGGAATCCTGTGAAGAAGTCCGAGCTGCAATCAATTTCTTAAAACCACAGGTACTGTTCTCTTGAAACTCAAAAGCACTTTGAATAGTTCATCTATCTGCAGGTTAGATCAGTATCTTAGGTGTTATATTTTATCCTTTATACCTAACTTTTGTAGTAAAATTATTCTGGATGGTTGATTGCAGGTCGTCTTTTTGGAGTTATGTTCAAGTCGTATTGCTATACTTACCCCTCAAAATTTAAAGGTCTGTTCTCATATCTTTAACTACTTTGGAATGCATTTTGCAGTAGGCATAGAACTGGACATGAATGGTCTATCTTTTTTAATTTTAAATTTTTGTGCAGTTATTTAATTTATTTTGCTCAACTGTTTTGTCATAGTATTTTACTTTGAGATTTTAGATGCTCTACGGCTCCCCATGGAAAAAAGATAAGATGGGGAAGCTTTGAGATCCCTCATCTACTTTAGCTTTACTTATTTTACTTTTACACAGCTCTTGTAATGTTAATTCTGTCTTTTGCCTGTTTTTTTATTTTTATTTTTTTTATTTTTAGAGAAATATCTTTGCTGTGTATAGGTTTAGTGTATTAAACTTCTGCTTTAGTATTCTGGATGTTAGTTTGTTGTTTATTTGCATATAAAATTTGTTCCTTTATTTTCATAGGAGTCTATTTTTCTACCTTCCTGTTTATTGCTTTCAATATTTGACCTTTGGATATGTGTTTTCTAATAGACATTGCCATTGGTTTTGCCAGATACCAACAACGGGAGAAATGGTGGAAATGTGGAAGAAAAATCACAACTTATTTGCAATTCTTTATAGCTGGTTTCTTGCAAAGGCATGATAACTACCTCAGTTTGACTATCTAGTTTTCGTATTGGGTTACTCAGCTTTTGTTATCACAGCAATACCCTTAAACCAACATGCTATATACTGTTAGGTTGCTAGTAAGCTTGAGGTTTTTCCTGGGGCTGAGTTCCGTGTTGCATATGAAGAAGCAATGAAGTATGGTGGCAAGGTGATTCTTGGTGACCGCCCGGTCCAGGTTAGTGATTTTCTCATTTCCAAAGTAGTAGGAGAGCAATCTCCAAGATAGTCTTGCCTTCCTCCATCAAAGCCACGAACCTTTAAGTTTTTATGCAATTCACTGAGGAAAACCTTTTCTTCCAGAATTAGTTGAAATATAAGTCTAATTCCTCCCAAAATATTTTGTTTAGTGTAATAGTGTCTTCATCTAAACCACTTATGGCCCATGTGCTTTAATAATATTTACTCTGTATAATTATTTTCTGCTAATATTTAGTATTTCATTTTCTAGAACCATGACCTCTAATAAGTAATAAATTCATCTTTGGAGTCCTTATAAACAATAATTCTTAATCCATTTCTGCTCACCGATGCCTGAATACCACTATTTGTCAATTTAGACTCGGTGCCAATTGCCATAAGACCTCCTTTATGAGCTCAAATTTCCTTTTACCACTTTTATATTAATTTTACATTTTCCTGTTTTCATGCTATTACTCTTCTTGTCCACAAGATTCTGAAAACAAAGATAATGATCTGTAAATATGTCATTTATTATGTTAATTCCACTGCTAAACTTGTTGAACAACTGTATGAAAATTCCAAATTAATATGATATGATATGATGCCACTGCAGGTGACACTGCGAAGGACGTGGGCAAGAATGCCACTCTGGCACAAGACAAAATTAGTTTACTCCTTAATGTTTCAGGCAGTCTTTTTACCAAGTCCTGAGGATCTCAACAGAATGGTATGCCTTCTCCTGTATTATTTTGATGATGGCTTCTTGTACATAATAAAATCAGATTGAAACAACAAATGTATATTATTATGTTATTGACTTAATGGTGGTAAACTTTTGTTTCTATGCAGTTGAAAGAAATGGATGATGTTGATATGCTGACTCTTGTTATTCAAGAAATGAGCAAACAGTTCCCCACTCTTATGGAGACCCTAGTGCATGAGCGAGATCAGTAAGTTCTCTACACTGAGCTGTCTTATATGGTACTCGTTTCTGTAGGCATCTTTAACCCTTCCCCTTTGGTTCCCCAAACTGTTGTGGGCCTTCTTATTCCATCCCTTTATTATATCTATATACAATATGGCAATTTATATCGTGCACCTGGGCGCGCATTGCATTGTGCGCCCTGGTGCAAAATGACGTCGTTTTGGATTTTTTTTTTTTTTTTTTAGAAATTTCGCTTTCCTGTGTCGGCTGTTAATTTTTTTTTTTTTTTTAAAAATCTCATGTTTCAAAAGTGTACATAATCGTATAAAAGAATGTACATAATTGTATAACAAAATACACATACTCTTTTTTGAAAAGATAATACACATAATCTAACATAATACACAAACTCTTAACATAATATACATAAATTCCCTGTTTCTTATGTATATAATTTTATAAAAAATGTACATAATTGTATACCATAATGTACATAATCGTGTCAACTTCCTACGCAACTCAACAAAACGACGTCATTTTGGGAGGCGCGGGGCGCACAGTGCTGTGTGCGCCGTGGTGCAGGGTATAACGATTGATATGCTCCGTATAAATATAAGATTTGAATTGGGCCCACTTTTCAAAACAAAAATAAATCAGTGTGATGGTTGGATCCACTTTACTCAAGAGTATCTTACTATGTCTCAAATTCTGTTTCTGATCTTGTTTGTTTATCAGGTATATGGCATCAACACTGCTTAGGGTTGCACGGGAACATAATTCCGTCCTGGCTGTTGTTGGAAAAGGCCACGTACTTGGAATGCAGAAGTACTGGCAGCAACCCATTGAGGTTAGCATACATTTTGTAATTGTGAATAGTTGAAGAATCCTCTAGGGGATTTGTTACACCATTATGAATTTAAGATTAAAACTAAAAATATTTTAAAAGCATGGTAGTTTGGTTTTCCATCTAGAGTTCTTCACATAAAATGCGGGCCGGGTTGTTGTTTGTTAGACCCAGAGTAAATTTTCGTGTTTTATTGCTCCTTTACAGGTGAAGGAACTGCTTAGCTTACCTGCCCAGAAACCTGCTGTATCTGTGAAGAAAATTTTGACGGCAGTTGGAGTGGCAGTTGCCGGGGCAGCCATAGTGTCTGGCATTTATTTATCGAGCAAGAAGTAAACAACAACTGCATTAATTTGACTTTGTACAGAAAGGAAGAGTTGTAGACACTTTCTCAAGTTGCTGCGACATGGTACGTGAGTTTAGCCCTACCCCGTCAAATTGTGAAAAAGATTGTTCTTCCCAGTCCTGGATCATCTCATCTTATACCCTTTTTTTTTTTTTTGGTTTGCATAAACCCAAACCAAATATTTAACTGTTTGAACAAGCAACATAAATAGCAATCATAGATTCTTCAGGGTTTTGACAGAAATAGAAACATTTCAATTTCATGCCTCATGGCCGAAAATGGGTAAAACTACCCTCCCAATTCTGTACGAGTTGGCTCTGGTTAGAAACCCATGTCCTATATGTGTTTGATGCTTTTTTATTTTTAAAAAAATTTTCCTTCCTAAAATAAAATTTGACATTAAACACATTTAGGGAAATGTGTTTGATGTACATTTAATCTGTCAAAATATTTTATTTTTACATAAAAATACGTTTATAATTGTGAACTGCATTTCAAAATATGTTTATGTTTGTGATTTAGTATAATTAAAACTCAAATTCAATAAGCATGTTTGTAGGGTGTAATGCATGAAATCCATTTTGTTGTGGATCCACATAGATTTGCAACTTTACAAATCACATATAATGTAATGTTTGAAATATTCCTTGGAATCAATCATCAGTCTTCCCTAGTTCCATGTTAGACATACACAAAGGAAATTGCTTAGTTTAATATGTATATTTATTTAAGGCAAGTGTTGTCTGAGTTGCTTGGAATCTCCCACAATTACACACTAGTAGGGCGTTTGAAATTTCCAGTTATTTTATTCCTGTAAATCAAACACTGAAATTTAAATTTCCACTTTATTTCCAGTAATTCATCTCCCATGGAATTACAATTCTTTTCCCACGTAATTTCTCCCTCCAACCAAACGCTCTGCAGGGTACAGTTTAGTTTTCAGTAATTTTATTCTTGTAAATTAAACACTGGAATTTAAATTTCCACTTTATTCTCAGTAACTCATCTCTCATGAAATTACAATTCTTTTACAATTCTTTTCCCACGTAATTTCCCCTCCAACCAAACACCCTGCAAGGTACAGTTTGGTTTAGTTGAGTTTGAATTCTCCTTGGGATTTTCATTTTCAGATAAGAGGAGAGGAGATTGTATGGTTTTACATCTTTTCCCTCAAACTTGATGCTTCATTTGCAAAGGTTATCTATCACCTTCTACACGCACATTAACCCACCGCAACAATTTCCAATCTCCCTTGCAAATTCGCATCACCATTTGATCTCGACAATACAAAGGCATTTGGCTAATCCTTCCATTTCGAGAGTCAAATGTTCCCTTTCAATCGTTATTGTGTGGACTATGGTCCAAAACGACGTCGTCTCATTTTAATTCATAAAATGCATTATCTTATCCAAAAAGATTTATTACTTATTCTAACTCATTGTCCATTATCTAAACACAATGGTCAATTCAACACTTGAGAGTTTACTAAAGATACATTTTAAAGTAAGTACATTACTATAAACCATGGGCAATTGCAAAACTTACCAAAAGTGCATTATTCAAACCAATAGTGGACAACTCATGAAACATATATTTGTATAACTTATGAAGTACATTATTCTAACTCATATACTCTAGAAGGTTCATAAACGATTGAGCAAATGTCATTATTGACTAATGAAACTTTTTTTACACAATCTTTTGGCCTAGCTCGGACCCAGTTGTTATACATGGATCATTGTCCACCCTTGTAAGGTGGACTTTAATCCTAGTTTTAAAAATTTATGAATACAATACATGGCCATTACAAATTGTAAACTTTTAAAAGGTAAATTGTGAATATTTAGTATGTAAATTGTGTATCTTTGGATCCAGTCCACCTTGCAACCTAACCTAAAAAATGAGAAGAAGAATATCTTTTACTCTTCAATTTTTCATTTGTCATTACATTTATCATTTTAAAATAATTAATATTTATCTACAAAATAATTTTAAAAATGCAAAGTTCCCTCACATCTAGAAATTAAACTTAACTAGGACGGGTGCTCTGCTCTGCTGTGAACTGAAAAGCAACATATGGTGGTGTGATTAAAGGTATTTCATACATTTAGAACTTGTTCAAAATATCTCATAACAATAAATAAATAAATAAATAAATAACCCTTCAAAAAATTTATAAATAGCAGAATTGCAAAAATATTAGAACTTACTCAAAAAATGATACAAGATCTTGACATAATAAAATACAATTATTTCTACATCGGAAGCTCTAACAACCATATCATTAGTCATATGAAGTAAATCACATTCCTAGAAAAATTTAATGTGGCAAATTTCTCCATTAGACAATTTTCCAAGCTTTCTTCACTCTCAAATGTAAACCATTTCGCTAATCTTGATCTTGATGGAGGTGTAAACACAAAAAATTCTCTGATTATCACTTGAATCCAATCCCCACAACAAACTCTTGCTTTTGAATATTAAGTTGAAACTTCACTTTGAAGAACTTCTACTGGAGACTTCGCTTGAAATGGTTTCTGTTGCAAGGTACATATTTTGAGCATTTCAAATCCCAACTTTTTGAATTTAAAATAGAGCAAATACCCAAAATGGTCCCTCGACTATAGCAAAATTCACAAATCGGTCCTCAACTTTCAATTTCACCCAATTAAGTCTTTAACTTTGCAATTTTGACACGATTTGGTCCTCCATCTAATTGACCGTTTGTTGACCGTGATCAACGATCTCCAGAAAAACCTTCAGCTCTCGTCAGAGCACGTGGAGGCCTCCAGGATGATGTTGCACCGGTTTGGAAACACGTCGTCTTCTTCGCTCTGGTACGAATTCAACTACATTGTTGAATCCAAAGGGAGGATGAAGAAGGTGACCGGGTTTGGTAGATTGCTTTCGACAGTGGATTCAAATGTAACAGTGCGGTCTGGAAATACAACCGGAACCTTAAAAAACCTACGATGAACCATGAAATTACATATATATCCTCAAAAATCACAGTCAACAAACGGTCAAATAGACAAAGGACCAAATTGTGTTAAAACTACAAAGTTAAGAACTTAATTGGGTGAAATTGAAAGTTGAGGACCAATTTGTGAATTTAGCTATAGTCGATGGACCATTTTGGGTATTTACTCTTTAAAATATTCAAATAGTTAATGAATTAATTTACTAAAACCCAAATTAAGAGTGTGTTTGGTTCGCACATAGGAATCGGAATTGGAATGGGTATTTGGTAATGATAATGGGTTTTAGTGAAAATATTTAACATGTTTGGTAGTAGGATGGAATGAGAATGGTTACTAATACTAGTGCTTGAAAATGAATAAGGGAATTAAACCTTTATTGTATTTGGGTATGAGTTTTTTAATTGATGGGGTATTCGAAACCCATAGTAGTGTTCTAAAAATCTATCAACCAAACAACAACAATCACTTTCATACCCATTCCCATATTTACAAAACATTATTAGAATTTTAAGTCCAAAGATATGTAAGTGGTGTTTCCAGGATGCAATAGCACAGTTAAATAGTCCATTGATCAGGATATGCCACTCTTCTTCCCTTTTGCGTCTGAGCCATTATACCAAGAGGAACTTTTATTCTCCCCCAGAATTGGTAATAGACGCATATATACACATAAAACAAACACAAATACACAAAAATAAAAGACTTTAAAATTTAAAATTTTCTGAATCTCATTTTAAAAAAGTTGAATTAATTTGATAGTTTCAATCGTAACTCATAATGCTCAGTGGAAGGAGAAGTCGTTAATTAGAGGGCTCACGGAGAAGGATTAAAAATCCAACTTTTACCCACTGCCCAAAACACCAAAAAGGTGTTCATCTCATCACAGCATTCAACAAAATCAATTCTTTTTACAAATCAAACATATTCATACCAAATTTCCAGAAAAAATAAAGAATTGATCTTTATTGTGGAAAACAAGAGGAGGGCTTCAGTGTGTGTAACAATGAGATCATTGATGAATTATCTCACTGAAATCCGCTAAGATATGTTGTTTTATCATCATAAGCCCACATCAAACTAGATTTGTTTAAAAAAAACAATTGCCAGAAAGAAGATATGATTATAGAAATCAAGATACAAAGAGATGAAGGTTGGGTGTGCTCAGACAGCCAAGGGTTTGTCTTCAACCACAAGATCAGAAACTCTAGTCCACATTAATTGCATCCTCACCGCACCCCATCCATGTACACAACACATAAACTGGAATATCACAAGTCATAGGAGGTAATCACATTCCTAGAAAAATTGAATTTGACAGTATCTAAAACATAGAAATATAATATTTAAAAACTTAAAAGAAAGACTATCTTAATATATATCTATAAACCCTTTGGCCATTCCTCTTCTTGAGTGTTGAGAAGGTTTCCTGATATGTTGTGGCCAGTAAAGAATGTATCATACAAGTTTTAAATTCACTACTGTGGCTATAGAGTCAAATTTCTAGTTGAGTTTGAGCGATCATGCCAATCAATGGAAATTTCTGCCCTCACTACATAATTGTCTGGTTCTTTACCAGAAGTCCCAACCCCAACAAAATGAATTGTTTTCCTGGATTCTCCAATAGACCATATTCTAACAGACCAACTGGCTTTTGGCCAATCTTGCTCTTGATGTAGGTATAAAGACAAACTTCTCTGATTTTCACTTGAATCCAATCCCACAACAAACTCAAACATGAACATTACTGAACTTTTGGCATGTACTGTTCTTGATTCTGAACATTAAGATTAAACTTCAACAGTGTATTCTTGAAAATTTCTATGGAGACTTCACCTGAAATGGTTTCTGTTGCAAGGGGAGTACTGTCCATATTTTGAGCATTTCAAATTCTAACTTTGTGGATTTAAAATATTCAAATAGTTAATGAATGAATTCACCAGAACCCAAATTAACATTATAACATGTTAAAATTTCATTATTTATGAAACATTATTAGAATTTTTAAGTCCATTGATATGTAAGTGGTGTTTCCAGGATGCAATAGCACAGTGAAATAGTCCATTAATCAGGATATGCCACTCTTCTTCCATTTTGCGTCTGAGCCATTATACCAAGAGCAACTTTTATTCTCCCCCAGAATTTGTAATAGACGCATATGTATACGCATAAAACAAACACAAATACACCCCAAAAAAAAAAAAAAAAAAAAAAAAAAAAGACTTCAAAATTTTCCCAAATCTCATATTTAAAAAGTGGAAATAATTTGATAGTTTCAATAGCAACTCATAATGCTCAGTTGAAGGAGAAATCATTAATCAGAGGGCTCACGGAGAAGGAATAAAAAATC